ACTTACATGCAAGAAATAACTTTTATATTAAAAGTCTACTTAAATCTGAAACCCACCATCTCTTTGGAGAGTGGTGAGAGTCAAGTAAGTCATTGTTAGGGATTCCCCACCTCCCAAATCATGCAGTTCCCTGGGCTCTTATGTGCATCCAGGGAAGGCAGTGGAGGCCTCTTCTTGGCCTCATTCCACACTCGTTTTGACTGATACGCCTGTTTCCAAGCCTACATAATTCCTTGCAGGCACACAGCTCTACTTATGCCACAAGCTTCCCCTGGGAGGTCCTTGCTGTGGCCCAGTTCCACAGGCCTAAAGACCACCCTTCCTGTTAGGGACACCATGAACCATTTTTTTCTAAGGGCCTATTGCCACCCCAGGGGCTGCCCAGCTTCTGCTATTCCTGGGAGTGTTCCTATATTCCCTCCTCAGCCTAGACAGTTTTTCCCTCTCTCCAGGCAGCTTCCTCAACAGTCCATTACCCTTGACAGTCCTCCCTAAAGCCACTTAAATTTCTCCTTAACCCATGCTCTTCTGGGACAGCACTATAGGATCTCATCCTCTAAGTGTTTTTAAAACAAGGATAAAATACCAAGCAAGGCCAGAGTACATGTTAATAACTCAGTAATTATCCCACCCCATTGAAATGTGCAAAAACACCTTCTTCAACATGACAAATGTTGTATTGCTGTAATGTGTACTAATGCGTAATGATCTACAAGGAGTTAGTAATTATAAAAATAGGAGATTCCAAATATTAAAAGGAGAAATAAATTGTAAAATGCTGTTTCTTTGCTTCTATAATGTATGATAATAATGGGAAATTTGACAATGAATTACTTAAAGTCAATTATTTTTGTACCTGCCAGGCTTTGACTTTGTTAACTATTTGATGTATTAATATAGTAATTTGTTTGAATTTATTTGATATTCCATTGAATATAAGGAAGCTGTCTCAACTAGTGGCTCTAAGAAATTTCTAATCAAAATTAAACTGACAGTGAGCTTGTTTGAATTATAATCATGAATTAACATGTTCTTTTCTTAAAAAACGAGATCAAAATTAAATGCATTTTAAGATAGAGGACAAGTATACAGATAAAAGGGTCTCTTTAGTGTCCAAGTTATGCAACCATTTTTAGCAGTTACTCTGAATTTTAAGAAAAAAATAACCAGAAATGGGGTTAGGGTCCTGCCACAAGGAAATAGATTGTACCTGTATGGCTACTGGTATTTTAAAATCAAACTTAAGGAGTTAAGGAGTAAGAGGACTCTGGCCAATGTGGCTCAGTTGGTTGGAGTGTTGTCCCATATCCAAAAGGTTGTAGGTTCGATTCCTGGTCAGAGCATTATACCTAGCTTTCGGGTTTAATGCCCAGTTCAGGCACATGCAGAAGGCAACCAATCAATGTTTTTCTCCACATTGATGTATCTCTCTCTCTCTCTTCCTTTTTCCCTTTTTCTCTGTTTTGAACAGCAATGAAAAAAAAACAGTCCTTGGATGAGGATAAAAAAAGTTTTTTTAAGAAGGAATCAGAGGGCTTTATGTACTACTTTTATTTTTCATGCCTATTTCTTTACATTTTAGCAGGTCATCCCAACAGCTGGCTATAATTAATTAAATTAGAAATAAATTTCATATGTTTTGGGGGAGCTCCAACATCTAGAAACAATGAAAAGGTTAATATTTTTTAAAGAGGTCTCAGACATTTAGTTTATTCCCTAGTGGAAAAACAGCTGGCTTTTACATTGTAGTAACTAAAAGAAAATTGTGTTTCCATCTTCATAAACACTTTGCCTAGGCCACACCCTCAAATTATCAAATCCAAATTTCCTCTTTAAAAATTCCTCTTTATTCCATTCATGTCTAGATCTAGCCTCTAAAGAAAGCTATCTTCAAAATGCATACTTTCTAAGGGTAAAAGTTTTGTAGTAATTATAAATTGAAAAGTGTCTATAATTTCAGAAGTATATAGTAGTAAATTTGTGAAGGAAAAATCATTTTTTTAAAACAATGATGAATATTTGTTTTATATTGTCTTTACAGGCATATTAAGTGCTAATTAAGGCTCTTTTATTGTTCTGTTTGATAGTGTCAGTTGATTTTCAGTACTGTTTGGCTTATAACTACAAATTGCCAAAATGCCAAAATTCTTAAAATATTAGAAAGGGTTTTTATGTTTTATTTTGTTTTCATTACTTCTGTTTTAAACTTGAAGAAAGGGAAAAGATTTTGGTTGAATTTTTTCTAATTTGTATCAGTAGTTTGAGTGCTTATTAGATTTTTAAATGTTTATTTATTTGAGTTGAGAGTCCTGGAGTTAAAAAAACTAAAACCTTTTCTAAAGTAAGGATATTTGTGTTTCTGCCTATAAAATGTGTGTGTGTGTATGAGTGAGAGAGAGTGTTAGTTTGATTTTGAATCACAAACCATGTCAATATCCTTACTCCTGTAGGCTGGACTAGAGGCATACCTCATTGTATTGCATTTCACTTTATTGCACTTCACAGTTGTAGGTAATTTTTTTTTTTTTTACAAATTGAAGATAAGATCCTCCACCATCAAAAAGGTTACAACTCTTTATTGCAGTGGTCTAGAACTGAACCCAAAGTATCTTGAGGTATGCCTGTAGTAAGCAATTGTCAATAGATAGATCATTTAGAAGTCAGGAAGTTTGCAATTTACTGTCTTAGTTTTCCTATACCTTACCCAAATCATCTTTTTCTGTTGTTAACTGACTTATTTTAGACTTATTCATAGGACCACATGGAAATTAATTTTAATGATATGTGTGTCAGGTGTCCCAAGAACACTCCCAGGTTTGGGGACTCACTAGGAAGACTTATAGGACTCAGCATGTAATTGTACTCATAGTTGTTATTTATTACAGCAAAAGAATGCAAAGCAAAATCAGCAAAGGGAAAAAGCACTTGGGGAGACGTCCAGAGGAAACCAGGCCCAGGCTTCCAAGAGTCCTTTCCTAGTAGGGTCACACAGGATGTGCTTAATTCCTCCCACAACAAATTGTGACAGTGCATGTGAAGTGTTGTCTACCAGGGAAGCTCAGTAGGTGCTCTGTGCGCAGCGTTTCTACTGGAGGATCACGTAGGTACCCTCTACATAGCATGTACTAAAATTCCAAACGCCAAGGAGGAAAGCAGGTGTTTAGCATAAACCATAATTTTTGCACAGTTTAGGCACAGTGAGCCATTCTTACCAGGTTGATGGAGACATTACCGAAATCCAAGTTCCCAGATGCTAGCTAGTCAGGGGCTAACCTTGCAAACAGGATATTTGAAGGATACCAGTCTCAGGCTTGCTATATTAACTTGTTTCTGAACAATATGCTTTAAGGGGGAAAAAATATTAAGGAAGTTTTTATTTTTACTTAGATGAGTATTCATTCAATTCTGTCATTTCAGTAATTAACACAGCCATCTATGAAGGGAGAGACATTTTTGCCTTGAGACAGTTTAATGCCTTCTCCCCTTTGTTGGTAGTATCTCGTGGGTATAAGCCACTTTCTGGTTGTCCCAATGTATCGTCCAGCAATCAAAGCATTTGCTACCTAAACACTCCTTCGATGATACTTTGATGATATTACTAAGAATTTAGCGACCTCATTTTTCTCTTGGTAATTTACTTGTCAACTTTTATTACTTTCATGCTACACCAGTAGTTTTCTGGAAAAAAATATTAGGATCATAAACTTATCATTCATGTTTCTCTCTGGGAGTTACAACTTGTAAATAAAATCTTTATAGTCCCTATGCATAACTTCAAAACTACTTGAGCTATAATGTTGATATTTAACCTTGGATTTTGGAGACTGGAAAATGATTAACAACTGTGTTGTGAATAGAGTCCTAGAAGGGTCCTTAGTAAGCTATCCAACTTCACTCCTGTCATTGGTGGGTGTGGAGCTAAACCAGCCAAGGAAAATGGTGCAAAAAAACTCAAGTAGTGAGTGCTCTTCATCGTTCTCAGGAGCCCAAGCTGTAATATAATTAAGCTAACTATCCAAAAAGTTTTCCTAGATTACCCATTTTACTGTTCTTTTGTGGATTTAGAGAACAGTTTACAATATCAGCTGCTATATCATTCTTTGGCCTTTTCTTTGCCAGATTGAACCATCTGTATTCTTCAACCTTTTCTCAGACAAGTTGTAGCTATAATAATTTGACTTTAAAAATAATAAGAAGAGCCCTGGCTGGTATAGCCCAGTGGATTGAGCATGAGCCACTAACCAAAGGGTCGCCAGTTCAATTCCCAGTCAGGGCACATGCCTGGGTTGCAGGCCATGTCCCCAGTGGGGGCCATGTGAGAGGCAACCACACACTGATGTTTCCCTCCCTCTCTTCCTCCCTCCCTTCCCCTCTCTAAAAATAAATATATAAAACCTTTTAAAAAAAGAATAAGCCCTGGCTGGTGTGGCTCAGTGAATGGAGCGCGGGCCTCTGAAGCAAAGGGTTGCTGGTTCGATTCCTAGTCAGGGCACACGCCTGGGTTGCAGGCCAGGTCCACATTGGGGACACATGAGAGGTAACCACACACTGATGTTTCTCTCCCACTCTTTCTCCTTCCCCTCTCTCTAAAAATAAATGGATAAAATATTTTTTTTAAAAAGAGTAAGAAGATATGCCGGTCTAGTCTAAGCCAGGCTTTCTTAATGTAAGAGAAGAAAAAATTACACATTATTTTCACTAACCTCTGTCACAAAGTTTGTATTTTTCTTCATTGCTATATCACAATTTTTTTTAAGTTTTTGGATAACCATTTCAATGTAATTACTTCCTTTGTAAATATATGTATTTGTGTATTTAGAAGCATTTTGAGGAGGGCTCTATAGGATTCATTAAAGACTCATGACAAAAAGAAAGGTTACACTCTGTGATGAGAACAATTGGGTAACATTTAAATGAGAATTTTCAGGATTGTTTTTGTTTCCTTCTTTATTAAAAGTAACTGTGACTAATACTTCATTTAATGTACTGTTGTGCTTTAGGTTTATGTACAAGTTAATAAAGAAGCAGCAGATGATAAGAGTGTAGCAAAATCAGCACACGAGTTCTTCCAGCGATTGGAACTGGGTGATGTGCAAGCACTTGGACTATGGCAAAAATTCCGGGATTTGAGTGTAGAAGAGTACATTCGGATTTACAAGGTACCTGCCCACTGTCCTCCTACTTCCCTGTGATGTGGTGCAGCTCTTGACTGGTATCACTGAGTAGCAAAGTTTATCCTTAAGCTAATGTTTTAAGAATAGATTTGACATTGGGTTGGAAATTAGGGCTCAAATACTGTTATTTGGGCTAAAAGTCGGAGCTCGGAAATAATCCTGAAGCCTGTGAACAGAACAGACTGAGTATCTGGTGACATTCTGATACTTCCAGTCTCGCTTTTCTTTTCTCTCTCATATCTTTCCTTCACTTTTTTGTAATCATTTTTCCTTTGATTGCTGCCTTAGGCCTATATGTAGTGGGCATAAATTTATTCATTTAATAAAAATGTTATGTCATGGGAAAAATATAACAGTAAATGAAAAAGATATGTTTTCTCATAGACTTTCATTCTAGCAAGGGGACAGAGAGTGAATTAAACAAAGATGGTATAAACAGTAACATATAGTTTGTTTGGTGGTGATGTTATACAGAAAAATTAAGCAGGAAAGAAGAGATCAGGTGTGCTGTCTGTGGGTGTAATGAGGAGAGTGTCAGTCAAGAAGCCCATGTGGGTGGAGTAGGTAAGCAAGATGAGGAACAGTGGGAGAGGAGGCTGCAGGGGTTGTAGGGTGGGACATGATGTCGGAGATTTTCCAGGGCTCTCCAGTCTAGTTTTCATGAGGTGATGGAAATGGTCTGTGTCTGTGCTGTCCAGTATGGTAGCCACTAGCCTTGTGTGGCTACAGAGCACCTGAAGTGTGCGTAATGGGATTGAGAAATTAAAGTTTTAATTTCATTTTATTTGAACTTAAATAGCTACATATGCCTAGAACTACCGTATTAGACTGCGTAGTACTGTTGCAGGGACTTGATTGGTATGGGAGGAGCCTTTAGAAGGTTAGAACAGAGCAGTGACTTGATCTAATTCTTCTTTCCCCATCTGTGTGACAGATTGTAGAGCATCCTGTTTTGTCTTAGGGTAAGGTAATAACACATTTAAACAACTTTTTTTTTCCTGTTGTTTCTCAACCTTTTTAGCGTCTAGGAGTACACTTTGATGAATACTCAGGAGAATCATTTTATCGTGAAAAATCTCAAGAAGTCTTAAAGATGCTGGACAGTAAAGGACTCCTACAGAAAACAGTGTATGATCTACTAAAGAATTACGATTCTTTAGTAATTTGTTCTTTTTTGAAATTGGTATTGATATATTCCCTCAGTGAGAACAACAGAATGTGTCGTGCTGCCTTCTGGCATATTTTTAATAGTGTTTTTGCTGTTCAGAGCACATCCCCACATGTTACCTTTTGCTGCTATAACAAAATTCTGGTAAGGTTGGGAGAAAGAATGTTATCTGCTCTTTACACAGGAGCAAACTGAAGAATAGAAAGTACACATGACCTGCCTGTCACACAAGCTGATCATGGTATAACTGGAAAAAGGAAATAGAATTCACATCTTCTTATGAAAATAGGTGTAATACAACAAATTTTTGAAAGAGTAAAATGAGGAAATCAGGACATAGGGGCAGAAAATTATACAAAGTCAGGTGGTATTAGTACATCATATAGCACACACAGAGCTGTTTCCTTGCTTAAGGTAGATTTCTAATTTAGCTTTGAGCTTCCTGTCAACCAAACAGAAAAATAGCATCAGTCATAGGAGCTCAGGCATGTGTTATGTAGAAGCAGACTAGTTGCTTAGAAGTGCCACTTTTCATAGTACCAAAGAGCAATTTCTCTTGTCATTTTCATAAGGAAGACATGGAGAATGTATTTCATGACATTCTCAGCAATGTCCTCAAGGAAAATTTTTAGATTGCCATATACAGATTCTAATTTTTGATCAGGCAGTAAAGACAGTAACAAAATTTCATGATTTTATTACTTTATGACATGTTAAAACTAACCCAATATTTAATATTACAATAACTGGAATTAGCAGAAAAATATGATGTTTCATAGTTAAACTGCTGAACTAAAAAATGAATATGCTGTTTCATTTTTTTTCAAGTAGGTATGTTAAGGACATTTTTTTAAAGATAACAGTATTAATCATACCTGCTTTATTAGAGTCATGGTCAGATTCCATCTTATCTTCATTGTTTATACCACTTATTGCTACTTAAGTAATAAAAATAGCTTCTGGTTTGCCAATGGTAATGTTATAGTTATTTACTTTTAATGTCTTACTTTATTATATTGCTTCAGAGTTACCTTTTTTCCCCATATCTAGAAAAGGATCAGCTGTAGTGGATCTTTCTGGGAATGGCAACCCCTCTGCAATTTGTACTGTAATGCGAAGCGATGGAACTTCTCTCTATGCAACCAGGTTTGTATCATATGAAAAGGTCAGCATTACAATGTGTATAAGACTTCATGTTATTTGTTCTTGAACTAATGCTAAGACAATTATTTTATCCTCAAATCTATTACCAAATGCTAGTTTTTAAATCTCTTGTTCTCATTAACCAAAATATATTTATTAGGTTTCTGTTTGTTGCCAGTTACAGTTCCTGGAAAGATTTAATACCATCAGAAAAGTGACTGAAAACTATTTAGAGTTAGTTAAACATCATAGGATTCCACAGCTGAATACATTGTTCTACACGCTGTAAAACTGAGATACCTAGTAATCAACTACAGGTATTTTACAATTGCACATTGGCAGGGAATGCACACTGGTAGGTAGCCGTGTGCACTCAGTGGAGTCCCCACTATGTAAAGACCATCTCATGTGCACGTATGTAACAGTCCTCATTCTGACTGTGGTGAAACAGGCCAAGGGAAAGTAGGTCCTATCACTTAATTTTTAATCCTGTCTCCACAGCTGACCCCTGTGGAAAGGGGCAGTCTCTGTTACTCAGTAAGGTCTGGGTTTGTCAAACACACTTACTTTGAAGACAAAGCTAATAGGAAAGAAAATACAAGACAATAAAAGATCCATGCAAGCAAACATGACCATACTCAAGCACTACTGGCTAATGACTCTCATGTCTTCCATGACGCAGACCCCGGCTCACAGGGTCTATGGATGAGATAAGACAAATTCACACAGTCTACCATGTCCTGTGGAAGAAAAGGGATGGGACGGCCACTCTCTTGAGGGGAAAGCGCCCCAACCCTTGCCTTGACAAGTTTTTATTGCTTTTCTGGGCACATACATGATGGTCCTCATTTACTATGCACAGGTTCGCTTTAGGTGGTTACCTTTTACAGAAAACAAAGGAGAGGATGTTGCAGACCAAGGGCAAAGTGGTTGAACTGCTTACACTCCATACTGGGGAGATTTAGCACAGACTTTAGGAAGATACAGTAAGCACTTGATGCTTCAATTCAGGGTGAGGGAATTTTAGCAAAAAGCAAGTCTCAGAGCGGCCTAGGATACAATATAGGCCTGATTCCCCATGGGAGCCATGGGCACGGGTCCTGTGTGGGCCCACACCACACAAAACGGTCTCCTATACCCCCAGGATAGTTTTATATTACATCACAAACCTTTTTTGTGGTATAATTAAAGTGATGATATTTTGTTTTAGTTTTAACTATCATTTATTCCAGACAGCTTATTGTCCTTAGAAAATTCATCTACTATTACTTTTTGACATTTTTCTTTATCATTTCCATACAGTTGGGGGGGGGGAGTAAAAAAAAACCTATATATCTAAGAGATACATTTCTTTTTCTGGATACAAAAAATATATAGTAGAAAGAATTTTTATGCCAGCTAATTATTGCTGGACAGATTACAAGAGAAACCCTTGAGCAGTTGTAAAAAATGTGTCTGCTCTATAGCTGTCCTGATCTGGTATCTTTTTGTGGCTATTATTAGGTCTAGATTTTTCTGTATAGAGTCATACCTTGGTATCTATGGCGGATTAGTTCCAGAACCCCCCACAGATACCAAAATCCACAGATGCTCAAGTCCTTTATATGAGGTAGTATTTGCATATAAACTGCACACATCCTCCCGTATGCTTTAAATCATCCTTAGAGTTATTTTTAATATCTAATACTATATAAATAGTTGTTATACTATACTGTTGGGGAATTATGACAAGGCCAAAGTCTCTACATGTCAGGACAGATGCATCCATCATAAAGTAGTCCTGACCACAGAGAACATGTCAACAACAGAACCTTTTGTTCCCAAATTTTCTATTCACAATTGATAGAATCTGTGATACCTGTGGATACGGAGGGCCAACTGTATTTACTGTAATACCTATACTTTCTTTTTTTTTCTTTGGGAGAATAATTATCTTTTTGACACTTGTTGAAATGTTTAATTTTTCATCTTGTTCTGTCTTTAGTTGCTTCTGCCCCTTCATTTGGTTCCTTATAGAATACACCTATGTGTATAGATATGAATTATAGGAGTTGTTCTAATAGACAAATAAAAGTGCCGAATACTGACACAAGCACACAGTGAGGGTAGACACTGAACGTTTGTTGTAAGACCATGACCATGACTTAATTTCTCTGGGCCATGGTTCCATACTTTGTGAAATGAGACACCTGAACTAATGACCTAGCTTATTTTCTGGCTTTCAAAACCAAGTTCTACAAACTCAACTTACAACTTTTTCCTATATTCTTTTTCATTCTTTTATTGGATCAAAAGCTTTCTCTGTTTTGTCCTTTGCTCAAACCAAAAAGTATAATGGGGGTGGATGTATGTGACTTCATTCTTGGAATAATCTTCTGTACTAGTGTTTCATAACCTGTTTTTCCTTATAACCCCTCATGAATTTTAATACCACAGATATACTACATATCTATATGTATTACATGCAAATATGTGATTTATTAATAAAAAGAGTAAGATATGTTTTTGTCCTTCAAGAGCCTGCTTTTTGCCTCTATTGAGAATTAATATTTTGTGTTATATCAAGATTAGGAGGTAGGTACTAATGATATTTTATAATCCCAACATTTCAAAAGACCTGAGAACTGTTTAATTCCTCCCAGGGTTATATACTGTCAAAAATAGCTTTAATTTTAGGCCCTGGCTGGCATAGCTCAGTGGACTGAGCGTGGGCCTGCGAACCACACAATTGCAGTTCCACTCCCAGTCAGGGCACATGCCTGGGTTGCAGGCCAGTTCCTGGCAGGGTACTCACAAGAGGCAACCACACATTGATGTTTCTCTCCTTCTCTCCTTCCCTTCATCTCCAAAAATAAATAAATAAAATCTTAAAGAAAAAACATAGCTTTAATTTTAAATTTCAATATTTTCATAATCCTGACTTGAAATTTTTTAGTTTATGGTTTATTTTTCATTATTTTATATTACATGCAAACTCTTTTGTACTTAATCAGGGATAAAAGAGATAAATGGAATTTTTGTCAAAGTACTTTATAATCTTTTAAAATGTTTTAGAATGTATTACTTATGACTGATCCAAAATTTTGAATCTCCCTGATCATACTGACAGAAGAGGAGCTAGAAGATAACTATTTAGCCACTGCATCACCTGTATTTCACATATGTGAAGAGAATGTATTGTAAACAAGTGACAATAGGTGATTCCTTCCGGGAGACGTTTTATTTTTATTATTAACAAATCCTAAAACATTTACCCACTGACACTTTATCTAGAGCTATTTGAGTTATTAAATCTACTTGTCCTAGAGCTCTTATTCACTTACGTGTTTATCTTTTCACAGCACTCTTACTATTAATGTTACTGCTTCCCCAAAGCTATTTTTGTATGATACTGGGTTTGTAAAATCATGGGTGGCTGTGGGATAGTAGTTGTTCTTAATTAGAAAAGCCTCATTACTAAATAAATAGGTAAAACAAACTATCACCCATATCTGCTTAGTAACTCTTAATTAATGGCTGTTTTTTCAGAGATCTTGCAGCTGCTATAGATCGAATGGACAAGTATAATTTTGATACAATGATTTATGTGGTAAGTAATCACAATAAAGAACAAAAGATTATGAGTCCTACCTCATAAAAACTGCAAAGCTAGAAATTGGATGCCATGTTGAAAAACTATGGAAAAATAATTTTGCGAACTATAGAAACAATTCAGTACTAAGTGTGTTTAAGGTGGCAAAAAAGAACATAAAAATTAAAGAGTTCACATTGCTTCACAGTAAAAATAAAATTATTCAAATTAGGAAAATAGTTATGTGAAATGAACATGTATAGATTACTACAATGCACTTTAGAAAAATAACTTTCTATTTTAAGTATTTTAAGACTTACAAGAAGTTTCCAAATATGGCAGTTTTCATATACTCTTCACCTAGCTTTCCCCAAAGATAATATCTTACATAACCATAATACTTTTCCCATACAGGAAGTTGATAGTGGAAGAGACCTTAGTAAAATTTTGCCAGTTTTTACATGTACCATTGTATGGACCTGCGCACACACACGTGTGTGTGTGTGTGTGTGAAATTTTATCACGTGTACATTCACATAACCATCGCCAAACCACATTCAGGGTACAGAATTGTTCCATCTCAAAACAAACTCCCTCATGGCAACCACTTGATAATCACACCTTCCCTGCAAACTAACCCTTGGCAACCACTACAGTTCTGTTCCCACCACTCCAATTTTGTTATTATGTGAGTATTACATAATGGATCATAGTACGTGACCCTTCCACATTGGCTTTTTTTAACTCACATCGTGAATGCCCTTAAGATTGACCTAACCTCTTCCATGTATCAGTAGTTTGTTCCATTTGTTGCTGAGTAGTATGTTAGTCTTTTCTTTCCTTCTCTTCCAAGTGCAGCCAGCCTCCCTTTCCCCTAAGAAAAAAAGTTGCCATTAAATATCTTTTTAGAGCTTAGCTTTGTTCTTCTTTGACATAAAGATCTTAATAGCTGAGAGAGGGAATTTAAATAGAATACTCAGAATATTAAAGTTCAAATGTCGTCCTTACTGTGGGGTGCAACAGCTCTTCCTTCCTTCTCTCCTAGTGCACTCAGACCTTCCAGTGGCATCCTCTGTGTGTGCTTACTTAAAATATACCAACTGGCAATGACTGTAGTCTGTCAGAACACAAATATTTTCATTTGATTCATGTCCATCCCATTTCTGTAGATTAACTTATCACTCTTATTTTAAATACTTTTGTTCCCCAAAGACAGATAAAGGGCAACAAAGGCATTTTCAGCAAGTGTTCCAAATACTGCAGATCATGGGATACGACTGGGCAAAAAGGTAAAGTCTGTGGTGCTTAATTACCTGCCTCAGGATCATGTTAGGTGCCAAGTCCCAAAATATACCAAGTTGTTAAAGATTTTTTACTGAAATATCTTTGTTTCAAGATGTTAGTGTGGAAAAACAGATTTGCTTTTTTATACTAATTTATGCCCTGGCTTTATTAATGCATTACTTAAAACATTTAGTAAACATTTTTTATTAAATGTCTGCTTAGTAGCTTGATGGGGGTCAAAATTCTTAACCCCCATCTCCTCTTTTTCAAAAAGTCAACTGGGAATTTAATCACATGCTCATGATTACCTCTCTAAAACGAAGCTGTGTATTTACCATCTTCTGTGGCATCCAGCAAACCACATCATGTTGTATCTATTAATTTTTAAAAACCCCACTATGAGAGGTGAAGTTCATACTACTTTCTGAAGTGGTATTCTATACTTTGATCACTAGCTCTTTTTCAGTTTTCCATTAACTAAATGCCCACTCTATTTCAGGTGCCAACACGTGCCCTTTGGGGTAGTACAGGGAATGAAGACTCGAAGAGGCGATGTTACTTTTTTGGAAGATGTCTTACATGAGATTCAATTAAGGATGCTACAGAATATGGCTTCTGTTAAGAGTGAATTCACTTTCTTGTTATAGTCATAATTTGTGTGCCACTTTTATATTTTACTGGGCTTTTGTGCAGTGTTATTATGACCATCTCTCCATTCACTAACCTTGTCAAAAATAGCTTGCACTAATTAGAGGTGCCAGAATTTTCAGACTTGCTGATCAAGTATTATTCAGTTTAATAGTCTGAATTGATATTACCCTGGGCCTCTCTTTTCATGGACAGCTTCAGATTATCATTCCATTATAGGGAGTAGTTGTGTTATATAATTAGAAACAAGTCGCAAGTCCTATAGCTTTGTTTAACCTTCACCCTTGGAAAATTTATTAGAAAGTTAAATTTGTGTATTTCTTCTTTTAATGAAAGGCAGGGGAATTGTCATTTTAAAAAGTAAAGTAGCGCACTGTGAACATGTCTGTCCTTGAGATTGCCAGCATCCATTTTTGGCAGATTTTATCTCCACTTCAGTCCCTGACTCTGTATAGTTTCCTGCAGGTTAAAGACAGCCACCTTTGTCTGTTTCAGCTACGAAAGAGCTCAAGAACCCACAGGAGACTGCGGAGAAGGTCGGGCTCGCAGCACTTATTATTCAGGTGTGTAAGACTGCTTCCTATGAGACCGTTTAGCTTGGTAGTAGAATAAATCCCAGCACTGAAGGTGTACTCTGTCATTTTAGGACTTCAGAGGTTTACTCTTATCTGACTATCAGTTCAGCTGGGATCGTGTTTTCCAGAGCCGTGGGGACACAGGTGTCTTTCTGCAGTACACACATGCCCGCCTCCACAGGTGAGAAGAGGCTGCTGTGATCCCAAGGCCAAAGGCACTGTTTTCTGGGCTTCTGTGATATCTCATATTCAAAACTAATAGAAGTACAGTGGATTGACTACCTCTTATGTTGGGTTTTGGTGGAGTTTTTTAAATATTTACTTATTCAGAACCTATGTAGGAAATGCTTTTATGCCTATTACTTTATTTACTACTCACAATAATTTGACCAAAGAATATACTCCATTTTCAGATAAAGAAATAGATTTAGGAAAAATAGAGGTATCAGGTTGAACAATGTTAGCTTCAAACACCAAGACTATGGTCATCCTGCATTTAGGGACCAGGATATGTTCTGAGAAATGTGTTCTTAGGTGATTCTGTGGTTGTGTAAACATCATAAGAGTACACTTAACAAACCTACATGGTATAGCCTACTACATACATACCTAGGCTGTATGGTATAGAGTCTATTGCTCTTTAGGGAAGCAAAAATAATTTTCCCTGTACCCTTCCATCTCAGTTCGTGACCGAGATACTCCTATACTAAAAGACAGATTAGCAGCAGAACAACAAAAGTTTAATAACACGTGTACTTCCTGTATACATGGAAGAGACCCAGGAAAACTGAGTTACTTGCCAAAATGCCTGAAGCCACCAACTTAAACATCATCTACAGCTGAAAACAAAAGATGTTTGGAGTAGGAGGAATCAGTTATGGGAGGTTGCCAGGAAAAGCACTTGTAAAGAAGGGTGAGGTGGTCATGTGGATTGAAGTCCTGGTCTTCTGCGTTAATAAGAGTTTCTACAAATGACATCTTCTCAGTCTTCCTGGTACACCCTGACAAAAGGAGATTTCTCTCACAGATGTCTTTTACAAAGGGTAACTTCTGCTTGATTTCCAGAGCTGCTTCTATATCTGCTATCTCTTAAAATTAACCAGCCTAAATAATCCTTATGCCAAATAGGCATATTTTCACGTAACAGTTGTTTTCCTACAGCTCCTAGGCTGAACAGCGAGCGTGTTACTATACTCAATACTGTAAGCAGTTGTAACACATGGTATTTGTGTAGTATGTTGTACTGTAACATTGACAGCTATGACATCACCAGGCGATAGGAATTATAGGAATTTTTCAGCTCCATTATAATCTATGGGAGCACCATCCTAAATAGTCCATGGTTGACCAGCATGATGTGGCATGACTGTGTTAAGGAGGGCAAGACCATACTATGAGATGTTGTTCATCACTTGTAGTTATGTGTCCTTGGATGATTTAACCCTTTGTTGTTTTTAATAACAGTTTGGAAGACACTTTTGGGTATGGTTTTCTAGATGGCTTCAACACTGCTTGTTTACGAGAGCCACAATCTGTTTCAATTCTCCAGCATCTTCTCAGGTATGGTATATTATTGAGTCACTTCTGCTTAGTGAAATTGTTACTGAACCTGGGTTCCTGTGCCCGATATTTCAAAAGGCTAAAACTCAAAGCAGCATTTGGAGTTCATTGATTGAGGAGCCAACGAAGAAGGTGGGAGAGCAAATAGTGCCTTCAATTCAATTTACACCTGGACTAGGTTAAGGAATTTTAAGCTGGAGAAGGGGAGAAGGGAAGAAGGGGAGTTAGGGTCAATTCTTGCGGTCTTTGGTCTCTTGATAAGGTCTCAAGGAGTACCATAGACTCCAACATGCTCTCAGAGGGCCACATGTGTCAGAGGTGGTACTGAGTTTCCATTATTCACTGCAAAATAAGCTTGTTCATTATTGTGTTGTGGCCATTCCCTTCTCTAAAGAAGCAGAAATATTGAACTTAGATGTTACCTATTGAATATAGTTTTCCTGAAACTGTTGTTTGACTAGTATGGCACAAATTAATCCAGGAACTGTCACAGTCTTGCTAACCCCCAGTTTAAACATTAAGCAACTTATGGCTACAAAGGGAGTGGGTAGGTTGATATAGTTTTGTTAGGGGAAAAATAGAGGATCTAATTTGCAGAACTGAGCAGAGAGCCTGACTTATGGGGTACAGCTACAAAACGACTGTTGGTGGTTTGCTGACCACTGGAATGAACAGACCAGTAGCTAGTTTCTACCCATCCCTTGCCTGTCATCAGCATTTTCCTAACGGAGACCAAGAAGTGACTGCCCTTTGAGCACAGGTCAGTTGTTAGGTCTTAAAACCATTACCACTGAACTAGCCCAGGTGCCTACCATCCTCTAGGTGGTGGTATGAGAATGTGAACCCTGGTGAAAGAATAACTGTTCAGTTTTTTAAAAGATCAGGGATTAAAAGATTCAGTTTTAGAAGGCAGGGATTAAAAAAATCCCTGCCTTTGTGCAGCTTCCTTGAAACCATAAGTCTTTCATTTGCCTCTTGGTTTCAATTCACATTTTCAAACATACATCTGTCTGAGGCCCTCACATTGGGCAGACCTCTCCTTTGAGCACTCTCTCCCACTGCTGGGGAGATCAGACTTGTGATGAGATCTGTCTCTGAAAGAGACGTGGCTGGTTAACAAGGCAGTTTTTTCTGATTGCCACACATCAGACAGTCCTTCTTTCCTGGGATCATAAGGATTTAGTCTACTCACATTTGACTGATTTGTGAGGAAAATAAGCCAGCTTAGTTTTCTTGGCATTGAGGATAGACTGTTTGCTAGTTTATAGACTATGTTCCTAAACATCACTAAGTGGCTTTTTACATTCAGTTCAACAGCCCTGATTTGAGTTCTTGCTCTGGGCTAAGCCTAAGGGATAAATCGGTGATTTAGAAAGTACCTGCCATCAACAAACTTTGAGAAAGAAAAATGTGCCTTTACTGTCAACTGTATCCAAGGTCTCTTTTCAGATGCCCTCTAACCCTAATGATGCCAAGTCAGCCTCACATCCTGGGTCTTTCTTCTAACAGCTTAGCTTAGAATAATATGTGCAATCTTCCCCTGACAGCTGCTCCCACGTCTTTTTTTTTCAGGTTTGATGAAGTGCTTTACAGATCATCCCAGGACCTTCAACCCAGGCACATTGTCAGTTACCTCCTAACTCTAAGGTACCTTTATAATCCTATTTTCAGATGTTAAAAGACATCAAAGACCTAATCTGACAAAGGACCTTTCTTTTATCTGAAGTTTTCCTATAAACAAACCCTTAGGCCTAAAAAAAATTATGTGCTTTAAGTTACAGAAATTCTTGCTTCCTCATTGCAAATTAACAATGTTCATTCATTTATTTGCTCAGTGATAGGAGGTACAGTCACTACTGTCCAGTGAGCAGGAAACAGCCTTATAGGTTACAGAAGCAATGCCTATGTGTTAGAATAGAGTGGATCTAAGAAAAAATGTTAGAGCTCTCAGTCCAACCTTGAAGGATCAGAGAGGGCTCTTGGGAGGAAGGGAGTGGACCTTAATCAGGAGAAGCAAGGTGGCAGAGAAGGAAGAAACAGCGCAGAGTTGAGCAAGAACATGGTACATGGAGAGAGCTATAAGCATGGCCTTGGGAGGGATCAGAAATGCAGCATTTACATGTCTCTTTGCCATGTACTAAGGCATTTCCTCTTATTTTCAGGGCAACAGGATCCACAAAAAGATTTTAAGCAGGGGCACAGAAGAATCGGTCAGCTACAGGGTAGAAATGAATAGGAAGTGAGTCAGTGACACTTCAATGGAAAGTTCATGGTGGTTATTAGAAATTTTGGGTAGAATTTGATTCTTCTGTAGCAACAGCTATTTAAGAAATATTTGCTTTTATTCAAGATTTACTGAAATCAGATTTATTGGGACTATTCTCTTGATTAAGCTTTTTTCATTGTCTTCCTCAGATTTAAGTAGTTTTTTCCTTTAAATTCCACTTAGATATGTAAGATAAAGGAGCCAGAAACTCTTATTAAATGTCACTTAGTAATTGAAACAAATGTCATAAGCATCATTTCTCTGGCACATTGTCAAACTTGCTGCCATACCTAAATAGAAAAGATTCTTTAAAGATGAGTGGCTGGAATTAAAAAAAAAAAATACCATAGGAAAAATAAAAACAAAGATGACTAGCTGGGTAGCTAAATTGGTTAGGGTGTCATCCTGATCCCTGGTCAAGGCACATACAAGAATCAACCAATGAATGGCATAAATATGTGGAACAAGTCAATGTCTCCCCCCCCCAAAATCAATAAATTTAAAAAGTATATTTAAGTGGCCAGTGTGTGTGCAGAGTGGACTGATAACTAGTCTCTACCTCACCTCCTCACCATGCAGAGGAGGAAAGACAGGCCATATTAAAGGAAGCCTGAATGAGGGGGAAACTCATTATTAGAAAGGTCTCGTACACTTGTAAAACTAACGATGAAATCATAATCTTTAGAACTTGCCACCTGCTATTAGCAGAACCAGGACCAAAGTCTAAAACTTGAGTTTAATGTGAATTCTGGTCTCAACTTTCCAACTTTTAGTACATTTTAATGGCTCTATCTAGGCTTTGGGGGGAGAGGGTTGTTTTGGGTTTTTTTTTTTTATCTTGAAACAGAGTAAGATTAGCTATCAGGCCTATACATTACAACAAGAAATGGCTGCAGGACCTAATTGCAACTTCCCTCTTCTCATTTCAGTCATCTTGCAGCTGCGGCACACAAAACACTACAAATAAAAGGGAGTTCTCCTGAAGTCGCTGGGGTATGTTACGTTGACTGTGTTATGTGTAATAACACCCTTGGATTAATATTACTGAGTCAGTCTTCCAAATATTTCTAAAACAGTATACTATTTTCCAACTATAGTAATGTACTTAGTAGTCTAAGGTAATAATTAGAAGAATTAGGTTGTAACAGTCAATGTTTATGTACTTTCCATAAACATACCACACAATGGAGACTTTCAGCCAAGATGGAGGCGTAGGTGGAAACACTGCCTCCTCACACAACCAAGTTTAAAGACAACAAAGTTTTAGTAACAAAAATGCAACAAAAGCACAGAAAATTGAACTGTATGGAAGTTCAACAACAACAAACCATTCAGCCGGACCAGTAAGAGAGGTGGAGTCAGCGGCTGGTGGAGCAGGGTCGAGCAGGAAAAAGTGGCCAGACCTACCTTGGCATGCAGGCGGCGGTTGGCGGATCCCAGGCATGGGGTGGCAACAGGTGGACCCAGTTAGGGTGCAAGGCAGCTGTGGACCAAGGTCACACATTCATGCGCAGATAAACCAGGCAAAGGAGCGAGCAGTGAGATAGAGCGCGCAAACCAGGGCCCCAGCTCCAGGAATTAAAGCCTAAAAGCACAAATTGGAAAAACTTTCGGGGTCTAGGTGCCTGGAGAAGCTCCCAGGCTCACAGAGAGTTTGTTGGAGAGACCCACAGGGTCCTGGTGGGTGCACAAGCCCACACACCCAGGAGCCAGCACCAGGGGGGCCTGGTTTGCTTGCAGGAAGCAGCAGAGGGGACTGAAATCCAAGAGAGAGTGGAACAAAAGCCATTGCCCCTCTCTGACCCCACCCCCACATACAGCGTCACAACCCAGAAACTGGGTCACCCCGCCCTGGTGAACACCTAAGGCTCCACCCCTTGTACGTAACAGGCGTGAACAGACCAAAACATTATGGCTCAAGGAGAACAGCTCAAAGCCTCAAAGCCCCAAAGCCAATACTTCTAAGCAAGCAAGAGACAGCCAACCTATCAGATGCACAGTTCAAAACATTAGTGATCAGGATGCTCACAGAACTGGTTGATTTTAGTCACAAATTAGAGGAACAAATGAAGGCTAAACTAATTGAAATGAAGGGAAATGCACAGGAAACCAATAGTAATGGAAAGGAAACTGGGACTCAAATCAAGGGAGTGGACCAGAAGGAAGAAAAAAATGACCAAACAGAAAAGAATGAAGAAATAAGAATTCAAAAACAAAAGGAGGAGAGGCTTACGAACCTTCAGGACATCTTTAAATGTTCCAACATCCAAATTATAGGGTACCAGAAGGGGAAGAGGAAGAGCAACAAGTGGAAAACTTATTTGAACAAATCATAAAGGAGAACTTCCCCAATCTGGCAAAGGAAATAGACTTCCAGGAAATCCAGGAAGCTCAGAGAGTCCCAAAGAACTTGGACCCAAGAAGGAACACACCAAGGCACATCATCATTACATTAGCCAAGATTAAAATCAAGGAGAGAATTCTAGAAGCAGCAAGAGATAAGGGGACAGTCACCTACAAAGGAGTTCCCATCAGACTGTCAGCAGATTTCTCAAAAGAGACCTTACAGGCAAGAAGGGGCTGGAAAGAAGTACTCCAAGTCATGAAATTCAAAGACCTACAACCAAGATTGCTCTATCCAGCAAAGCTTTCATTTAGAATGGAAGGGCACATAAAGTGCTTCTCAGATAAGATCAAGTTCAAGGAGTTCCTCATCACCAAGCCCTTATTATATGAAATGTTAAAGGGACTTATCTAAGAAAAAGAAGATAAAAAAGATGAACAGTGAAAGGACAGCAAACTCACGGTTATTAGCAACCACACCTAAAAAAAAAAAAAAGCAAACTAAGAGGACGGCTAGATTAGGACTGGAACCATAGAAATGGAGATCACATGGAGGGTTAGCAACAGGGGAGTGGGAGGAGGAGAAAGGGGGACAAGGGACAGAGAATAAGTAACATAGACACTAGGTAGAAAATAGGGGGGAGGGCAAGAATAGTATGGGAAATATAGAATCTAAAGAACTTGTTGATACATGGACATAAGTTAAAGGGGGGGAATGGTGGGGGAGGGGTGTGCAGGGTGGAGGGGAATGAAGCAGGGGGGGAATGGGACAACTGTAATGGCATAATCAATAAAATACATTTAAAAAAACATAGTATACTATGAAGTACATTTGTCTACATCAGGTATTACAGCGATGAGTTTCCCCTTATCTGAAGCTGTACTGTAGGATGAAACTGTCAGTTTCATTCCCCAACCCTCAGCTACCAGTATTAAGACAAAGTATTCTAAGAATTTGTATTTCCTTGCCTACCTCAAGTGCTAGGGCACTTTGAGATACTATTTCTACTTTAACTTAGAAGTTAGATTTACTCTTTAAAATATTATTTATTTACTTTGTGGTTAGCCAATCCCTGAATTGAACGTTTAATCATTTTTTTATTTATCTTGCAGGCCAGACTTTATCTTTTCAGAGCTGTCCGTTCTGTCTTAGCCAACGGAATGAAGCTTCTCGGAATAACACCTGTATGTAGGATGTAATTTCTAATTAAAATGGCTTTTTAAATACTAAACTAATTCTAGTTATCTATATAGGCCTTGCTGATTAGAATTTTAAGCTATTCTGTATCAGAATCTATGTATTAAGTCTCTAAGTGATTTATCAACTTATTAAACCTTGGTCCTTAAAAAAATCATCTGAGTTCCCTCATGGTCAACAAGCACTAAATAGATGTTTGTAGAATTCAATTAAATCTTTTAAATTCATTGTGATCTAATAGGAATAAAGGATCAGAGTTTAAACTCTATTTTGAGGTTTCTTACTGTTTCATTCTTTCAGAAATTATTCTTGTAAGATTACCTAATGTTGAAGAATATCTCAGATTTCTTCTAAGTATAGCTAGTTCTGAAAACATTTAGGGAGACCAATATTAAGTCAATACAGCTAACAACTCCCAGGGAACCCATCTTGTGCTTGTCTTTTCTTTTATACATATTCAGGTAACTCTTAACTATGTGAGCTTGGGAACTGAATATATTTGAACAACAAGAAATTACTTGTTCAGTATTGTATTAGGATCTTTTTGTAAAAACTAGTTAAACCATATTTTGAAATAGAATTTCCCAAACCAATTCCTTCATGTGTCTGTCTGCATATTGGTAAAGTACATTTTGTGTGACTTGTGTAGGTCAATGTAAGTAGAGTATGATCTGTTTCACTGGTATGGCTGTCCTCACTTGCCAGCATTTCCACTCAGGTCTGCTGTGATTTATTTTCAGTGTTGCTACTAGAAGTCTTCTAAATACCAACAGTCTGTCTTTACAAACAGAGAAGAAAATTTGCATGACCAAGTTTCATTGGTTAAATGTTAGCAAGTACGGTATACCTTCTTAGTCCTAAAAGACTCATTAGTGCAGTTTCAATTTTAAGTGTGCTAGCTTCCAAACGCTACTTTTCTAAAGTATCACTAAGATTTACTTACCACAAACCAGCCATGGAATAAAGTATACAGTCGGGACATGATTTTCACGAACAATATCCCTTTCCATTTCTTTGAGGAAGAGTTCTCCTTCCCAGGTCAGTGTTAGTAGCTGCCTACGTAGTTGAATCTTGGGTGAAATGACACAGGGCAGAGTTGGTTAGAACCAAGTCTTTCCAAAAGCAGGACAGTCTTCCCTGAGAAGACTGTTCACCAATCCCCACAGCCTGGAGCCCTAGAGCACTGACTGCAGTCCTTATAAAGTTTTGTTTTGTTTTGTTTTGTTTTGTTTTTACTTATAAAGTTTTGTTTTGTTTTGTTTTGTTTTGTTTTTACTTAAGGGTAGGCAAAGTTAGTTTATAGCTATTATTTGCAACCAGAGAAATCTAACTAATACAATTGCAACATAGAGAAATTTTAAATGTAATGTTTGGGGTTAAAAGTTTATGTTTTTACATTACCTTAATGGTCATATCTGTAACAAAAAGTGATCATACAGATTTCATATAAAGTTTATTGCTGAATTTTCCCATTAACATTATAGAAATTTTTTAAAAACACAGAAGTTTCACAAATTATTGTGAGCCCCACAGCTAAACATACTTTATAAAAGAAGTACAAAAGTGACGTTAGAAATATTTTTGAAGAAAAGTCTATCATCTAACAAAGAAATATGACTCCAGACAATGAATGGCACAAATACAGCACTTGACAGCGTACTCAGTTACCACCCAGAAACCACCATCTGAGTTATGAAAAATACTCAGTTTGAGAAGGTGCACAATTGATTGTTTCTCAGTAGCATGTCTTGTTTTTGCCTCTTATAAGAAAAGAACTAGGTCTTTACTGCTATTAGGGCAAAATACTGTACATAATTTGGAGAACAAGGAGGGGCCGTCCTTCTCCTCTGGTACCTGAACAAGATAGCAGTTAGTACAGAAATGACTTTGGCACTTTAACCTTTAACATTGTCCCAAACCTTATTATTTGAATATTATAGCCTCACATGATTTTTAATACCATATCATCTCCATACTTTTCATATGCGTTATGTATTTATTATATATATATATATATATATATATATATATATATATATATATATATATATATATATATAAATAAAATAAAAATTCCTTCATTCTAAAACAAAATGGGTTTACCCCAGACAGGTCACATTAAATCTTTTGTAGCAATTCACTCAGATAACTTTCTTCTTAATTCTGATGCTACACAGTTAATTAGCATTTGTTTAAGCTACCTTCTGGGATTGATTTAAGGCTCTAGTTTAATGCAAATGGTATAATCTTAGTAGGAATCTCTTTTGCAGCTGAAATCACACACCACTGATTCTCTCTTTTGAAGCTGTTTCTCCTTGTTGGATGGATGTAGTGTCTTGTCTGGGTAATCCATAGAAATATATAGAAACACACACGAGAAGAGTACCCAGAGCAAAGGTAAGAGCTGAAAAGAAAACAAAATAAGTTTTATCTGCATTTATGCCTGTAAAACTATTATAACATTAATTTAAAATTTTGAAAACTTCTAATTACAGTTTTACACCATTCCTTTATTTGCATTTATGACAAGAGTCAATTTAAAATGAAATGTAAGTATGGGAAATAAGTAAATCTAGGTGTTCTGTTTCTATGATGGTAAGGTTTTGAAAAATAAGGGAGTGGCAATCACTGATTGTACACTTTACAAGAACACAAGTGGTGTGTCTGTCCTGCACCACTGACAGAGATCACACTCACTTCCCAATATGCTGATTAAACTAATGAAAAGTAGAGTGTGGCTTCTCCGTGATACTAGAAACCTGTGAAAGTTTAGAGCAGAAAGTAGCTGATCAAAATTCAGAGAGTTAGGTGACCGATGACTGAAACCACTGAAGATCTCTAAAACACGGAGGAGGTGGTGATTTACTAAGTAAAATTCCATTCTGCTAGGTTTGTCTTATCATCCGTAATCCTACAGCTTGTCCAAACTTGATCAGTAGTCACTTTATAAATTAATGCTTATGTTAAAACTGTATATTCCATTCAAAACCGAACCATAGTATATATGGAGTACAGTGGTACAGTCTTAACAGCTTTAAAATTAGCATGTAAAGAAATGCCATCAAGCTATGACTCTAGTTCAACCCTATTAGTTGAACCCTAATCAGAAAAGACTAGCTTTACCTTCAAAAAAGCAGAAGGGGTAAATTAAATCTAAATAAGAAACTGGAAGATTGCTGAGACAGTCTAATTTCCTTGACCATCGTTAAGATAGAACACTGACTAAAAGCATCTTACACCGTTTCCAAATATTCTGTGGGGGCAATGTCATAAGGATTTGTTGAGCATAACGATGGACCAGAACTTCAATCAGGGATGAAAAATATCTAAAGGAGACTCTGTAAATACCTGATACTTACATGTTAAGTGGGTCTTATACAGAATAGTTACTTTGTGCCAGGCACTAATCTAAGCACTTTACCTGAAACAACCCTAGGAGACAGGTGATACTACCATTCCTGTTTTATAGATGAAACACTAAGACACAGGTTAGTGACTTCTCCAAGGTTTCACAGTTAATAAATGGCACAGGTGAAATTTGAACCAAACTATAAAATGGTTTTCTAAGATTTCTGTGAGTTTGGTATTCCCTCTATTTACATTTATAAGAAGAGTCCATTTTAAAATGAAATATAAACATAGGCAGGTGTTTCTTTTTACTCAATGTTGATAGTTGACAGATTTCCCTCAAGCATTAATAAATAAAACTATTACAGCATAAAAGCACCCTGAAATGAAGTCAACACCACTGCTTTAATAAGAAGCCAACTTAATGCTGGATGTGGGCTAGAGAAAATTGCATTAGAAGGACTAGCATGGTGGTGCGAGAATGTCTATAGTAGTGAATTTTGTATCAATTATATATTAAATGAAATAAAGATGATCTTTATAAAGGGAAAGGAAATTTCTATTTGAATTGTAATTTCAAAACCAGTTTGCACCCAAGTCCAAAACACCTAGGAAGATGCAAACTAAAGGGGGAAATGAAAGAATTTCTCTATTCTTCCCTCAAAATAAAAAGTTTATTCTAATTCCACTGCTGAGAGTAATCATGTCCTAAAGTCCTTGTATTTATTTCCTTGTGTACCTCATCACAGTATATTCATCCTAAAGCACTTCAGTTGTCTTACATCTAATACTTGGAGGCTTGATAGCAAAAAAACTTAGTAACTGAGCAGCTCCTCATTCCCACATAGAACCAGCACCCCTCAGCTTAAGCTCCAGGACTATTCTCAAAAAAACCTAAGTATGGCTGACCCACATTCCATACAACTATGAACTGCTGCACTTACAGAGAATAAATTATAACAAAACTAGGAATTTCTATAAACACTGTGACCAGTGCCACATCTACAAGACAAATCAAGGAAGTGAATAGCTTTTCCACGTTAAAAACTTAAAAATACAAACTGAGACATACTTATCTGTAATCCAAACAGCATCACAGAAGCAATGGTGGAAAGGATAATGGCTGCTGCTGCAGAGAAGCCTTTCATGATGTTGTCTGTATACTTGACCACAACAGAAGTGTAGAGGCCTCCAACACTTGCAAGAACTTGTATACAGAAAGAAATAAAATCTTAACACCAGATAAATGAAACAAACATTTTATGATAGGCAGTTTTCATCCCCAGAGATACCATACTAATTTACCTGGGAAAATACAATTTTTCTTATAAGCAGCTATCTGAGTTTATATTTAAATTCAGTAGTAGTTCCTACAAAATGTTTTTCAGATGCCCAAAGGACTGTGTAGTCTACCACTAAATTGTACACATTTACTACTAACACATTACCTTTTGATTGTGTAGGCAGAATTGCTTTGGGACAGCTACGCCATGAAAGTCAATAAAATCAAAATTACATTTTCAGGCTGGTGTTCACAGTATAATGGAACAATTTCAAAATGCTGTAATGGCTTAAAATGGACATCTAACTTTTTAAAAATATATATTCTACCAAAAATCTTTAATTCCTGGATACTTACAGATGACAAACCAGACATAATATGTGTAACCATAGAAAAATCCTTTTTCTTTAATTTCAGCTCCATCAGACAAGTAGACGCCAACTAATGTCACAACAATCCCTGATAGATACATTTGAATGTTTCTCACCCAAAGGGAAGTGTCTGAACTCTTTAAAACTTTTTCAAAGTACACTCCTGAAAGATAGACAAGCAAATATGAAATAAATATATTAGAAATTAACTTAAAATGTCTTTCACTTAGAACAATAACCTGGAGATATGATAATATAAAATATATGATTAGTGGTACAAACATTTTACATTAAATATACACTTATTATGTTGGTGTGACATGCGTACTAAACATTACCAATATATATTAAAGAACAGGTTCTGCCACTACTATAGCAGTAAGATAGATCACAATAAAGGACTTTGGTCATCTGGAAGACTATACTATTAAGCGTTAATTATCTTAATTATATCCCTATACTATCTGCCTATTATTGAATACTCCCAACTTTGCAAAATAACTTATATAATTACCACTTAGGATTTTTTCAAAGTAAGTAACACAACCAAAATAAAATTTAAATAGAACTTGCTGAGTACAGCCTTTTTCCTTAAAGCAAGGCTCCCCAAGCCAAGTTCATACACAGTGTGAGAAGAACCAAGAACTCCCTAAGTAGTTAATACCTTTTATGTATGTGCATTTTTCTGGGGTTGGGAAGTCCACAGCTTTTTACAGATACTCCAAAAGTGCACATGCCACCCCTCCCCCCGCCAAATCACATACCACTGCTGTTAAGTTTTATAGTTAAAACGAATGCATGTTTAACAGAGACATTAAAGATTTTAATTATAAATACCATGTTAATTAGAGACTTAGAAACTGCCACTGAAGTACTAACCCACTAAAAAATTTTAATGATAAACAAGATTGTTTTTAACAAACATGTTGGAAAGAGCCAGCCAATTGGAACAAACATATGATGGCTCTTCCTCTTTCCACCTTTGAATTTCCTATCTGGGAAAACTGAGTGCTCAGTTATTCCAGCATAAAGAGCATTAAACCTTCCCCATTTCCTTGATTGTGTATTGAGAAGTTGAACTAAGTAGAACTGTTAGACACAAACATTTAATTGTTCAAAATAATGCTAAAAATCAGATATAATATCTTAGGGGTGACTCAGTTTTGTTTCTAATTTGCTAGTTACTGAGAATAAAAGTTCAGCATGATGCTATCCTATCATTAAGTATATTCCCAAATTTGTATTTTCCCCTCTTATTGAACATCTCTTTTAAAAGCAATATTTCACTTTCATATCCAGCCTACTTTCCCAGTAAAATATAAAAGCAAAGTCCTAACTCTTGAAATAACACAAAGATAAATAATCAAGACAATAGCTATAACTAATATACTCTTTACTAAAAACTCAGTTTGTTCTCTGTTGGAACTATTTCTAAGACACATTTCATTTCTTATGTTACACATTCATACACTCTCTCTTGACTGAATGGAAGATTGCCTGTCCCTACAAGATTCCAGACTTCCTTGTTTGCTTGATGTTAAGGATTTTGGTTCTTGATCCTCTTTTTTTGGCTGGTACTTTTATGTATTAAGTTTTCTAAGATACTCTCCACACCACCCCTTTTTTCTCCCTACTCCATACTTCCTAATTTGTGGAAGCAGAGGAAGAACTTGAAGCTACCCGGGAAAAACAGATACTGAACTAGTGACTAATACCCAACAGAAGCAGAATGTAGCCTGAGGAGACAGTTCCAGGAAAATTAAGAGGTACTGAAGCTTTCTGATGGCTAGTTTCCTCTATTTTCAAAGGTCTTTTCATTTACTTCTGGGTTCTTGGCAGGACTAAGGATGGTCAAGGACCAACCTATCCTTAAATAACAGCAGGTATGAAACAGGACTGAGGTCTGAACTGAGTTAAACACTACCATGTGTTTACTGGAAAAACAGCTGACACAAAACTAAATAACTACAAGTAAGAAGGTAAGCTTTATTGGAAATAAAATCGTTAGTTATAATAAAACAAAATAAACCAGATCCCTAAAGTTTGATATTTTTAAAACTGGACAACAGAATAAAATGATGCTTTTATGATTTACCTGCAAATCCTGAGCACAATACAGCAATAGCTATAGCGCCAAACCCTAACAATGGATTCTGTTCCACCTGCAATAGTAATGTTTGAAGTTATTTTCAGTGAGTGAATATTCATCCAAGAGACCAAATAAATGAATATAAAAATGTGTGTTACATTTCTACTGAAAGTATTCACCATATCAGAAATGGCTATTCTATAGACTAACACAGGACCAAACAGAAGGCCATCCAAAGCACTTAAAAGTGTGATCCTCAAATTACAATCATAGTAAATGCTTAAAATAACATGTGTGCCTACTTCCTAATAATCATGGGCACCCTAGCATAGACACATAGTCAGCCTACCTCTCAATGGGGGGGGGTAACTTCTGCCAGCACCCCAATTCAAGCCTTCATAGTATCAATCATAGAAACATTAACAGTTTTAACTTGTTTTAAGATTTCCCGCTTCATTGAATTTTTATCAAATATTAATATCATACATGCTATGTACTAGATATACTTACTATGTTATATACTAAATGAATATTTATATGAGCATTTATATTTAGTATATAAATACATTTATATGCTAAATATTCATTTAGTATATAATATACCATTATAAATGTTATATTTAATATATAAATATTAAGTATTTACATTTAGTATATAAATATAACATTTATACAATAAATATTGATTTAGTGTATAACATAGTATATACTAAATGATGCACAGCTGTGGTTCCTAAATAGTTCATGGATAGAAGAGATTCAGGTATATGTAATCATAATACTGTGCAGATGCATATATATGGGCTCCAACCTATGGTTTCAACTTTATTTGATTTCCTTTCTCTTCACTAAAATAATCTTCAGGAGCTTTCATCAGTCTTTCCTCAGATAAACACACTCTCTGGACTGACAGTGAAACTAAAGAGTTGAGGTACATGACTAGTATGTATGACAGGCATACACCCTGTTCAAAATAAATAAGCCTGATATAAGGAGAGTATGAGTTCATGTTAAGTACCTGAGAAAGAAAGCTTGGTCTAAAATATTTGCATGACGATCAGAGGAGAAATAGAAGATACTATCGACTGTTGGTCCCTGGATCAACAGCAACATCATCATCTGCAAACTTGTTAGAAATAAGCATTGATGTGCCCCACCCCAGACCCACTTAAACACACTGTGGGGTTGGGGCCCAGTAATCCATTTTACCTTCCAGTTGATTCTGATGGACACTAAAGTCTGAGAACCAGTGCTACAGACTACACCTGATACGCATGAGTGCTTTCCTCATACAAAATACAGGACTGGCATATTTATGAGGAAAAAAAATGGTGTGAGATTGCACCTACCCCAACAACTAACTGCTAGGAAGATCAAACTACTAAAAATAGTTTGTGATAAATTCTTGGCTTGCTTTTCTGCCAGTTCAATCTCTCTACAGTTAGGAGAAAAAGTTATAGACATAGCTTCCTTGGCATTTAATTCTAACTAATAAAATTCCAGATGATGAAGTGAAAGTGGTGGAAACTTTGAACAACCATGTCATTTTACCATGAGTAATAGCCAAACAAAGCATAGTTAAGAAATATAAGTGCCAGTCTTAAAATTCAAAAAGTAAAATTTCAAGTTAGCATTCTATAGCTAGTAGAAGATGGTTTAAGAGAGAGAAGAGGTTCTGAAGAATGAGATTCTGGTGAAGAGTAAAAATATATATATATGTACACCTAAAGAAACCAATGTTACTAATTAAGAACATCTTTAATGAATTCTGATTTTATAAGAACATACAAAAGAACTGCAGTACACTTAACCAAGAGGAATCTAACCAGAAATTTTAGTATCAAGAAATTGGAAACTCAGAATAAGCAGAGACTTACAAAAATAACTTTAAATATTAAAAGGCTTTTAAAAGTATGTTTAGGTCAGGAGAAAAAAGGAGTGTGTTTCTTAGGCTAGATACTATACTGTTAAATGACAAGAAAACAGGTCCCCGAATCTACTTTCCTTTTTCCCTGTGAATAATACTTTTAAATAATAAATAATAAACATATTTAAAAGGAAACTAAAGTCTAAGACATTTGGTTTGCTATTATGATACCTAGATACCTTTTGGTTTGCTAAAATACATAGCTAACTAAAACAAATTCAAAAGTATCTTGACAACAAAAGGAGCAAATCAAGATATTGATAATTATGTCTTTGAGACATAATGAGAATGGAAGCATGCCAGAAAACATGAATTGGGCACATACTGTCCACTTTTTCCAAAGGCAGAGAAAAGAAAGCTGCATAAATTATAGACACTGCTTGTGATTGGTAAGGCAGCCCAGGACAGTTACCAAGAGCACAGGCTCTGGAGCCACACTGCCTGGATTCAAGCAAAGTGACTGGACACACGACTAACCAACTTTGTCTGTCAGTTTCCTCATCTAAAATGGAAATGAAAACAGTAGTAACTTCAGCCCTCAGGGATGCTCGGTTGGTTAAGAGTGTCACCACAATATGCCCAGGTTGCAGGTTCCATGCCCAGTCAGGGCACATAAAGAGTCAACCAATGAATGCAGAAGTAGAACAACAAATCAATGTTTCTCTTTCTCTAAAATCAATAAATGAAAATTAAAATACAAAACAAAACTAACACCAGCTCCACATGGTTGTAGGCATAACTGAGTTAAATGCAAAACACTTAGAACGGGGGTGTCAAATACATTTCCATCTGGGGCCACATCAGCCTTGAGGTTGCCTTCAAAGGGCCAAATGTAATTTTAGGACAGTATAAATGCAACCATTCTTTAACTAGGGACAAGGAGCTCAGAGCTGCTTCCAGGTAGAAACAAGGTGCCGGGCCAGATATAAAACAAGGTAGAGGGCTGGATTTGGCCCACGGGCCTTGTGTTTGCCACTTGTGACTTAGAACATTACTGGTATTTAGTGCTGTATAACTGATTACAACTGTACTATTATTATTGGTTATCAGCAAAATGGTTGAACAGGTGACTTAAAGAACTTAAAAAGTTTAATGGTCATCACTAGAAAACAATATGGCTTCCCTAAGAGTGAGACATACCAAATTTCCTTATTGAAATGATTCCTAGAAAGTAGTGAGGAATTCTATAGATAGTGTTTAGCAAGAAATTTGACAGCTTTGCATATATTTTTTGCAAAAAATATTCACAATATTTTTTGTGAATGAAACAGAAATTTAGTGAGAAAAATAGTACAATTCTATACATAGCTGAGTGAATGCTCATACAGTACAACCAAGCTAGACTGACAACCAGAACTGTATGAATTGAGCCACCTTGGAAACGTCCTCTATGCCCAGTCAAGCCGTCAACTGACTACAGTCCTTCCTGATACCTTCACAGCTGCCTTCAAGAGATCTCAAGAGAGCACGGGCCTGCGAATCATAAGATCGTGGTTCAATTCCCCGTCAGGGCACATGCCTGGGTTGCAGGCCCCTTCCCAGCAGGGGCCAGTTCCCAGCAGGGGATGCACCAGAAGCAACCACACATTGATATTTCTCTCCCTCTCTCCTTCCCTTCCCTTCTAAAGATAAATAAATAATTTTTTTTTTAAAAAGAGATCTCAAGCCAGAAGTACCTAGCTAAGGCACCCTCAAATCCCTGACCCATAAAACTGAGAGAGAATAAATGTTTCTTTTTTAAAAATATCAAGCTACAGAATCTAATGGTATAGCCTCAGAACTCTGGTCCTGTCTAAAATTTTCAGTGACAACCCAAGACATATTTGTCAAATCTGTAGAAAGCATAATACTCAAAGAAAAAGGTAATAATGGATAAGGACTGGAAAGACCTCAAAGGCCTGAAAAATGACCCAAAGCTAAGTTTAATAAATATAAACACATCCTGCATTTGGGTTTAGAAGAAGCCCACTGCACAAGACCCATTTGAGATAAACTGTTTGTGTGAAACAGCTACATGTAGTTGTATATAATCAGTTATAAAATGGATATCCTTTCCCCCCAAAAAAACAAATATAATCTTATGCTGAGTTAACAAGTCTCTGGTACTTAGAACAAACGAAGTAATTAGCAAGTTATCCCTCACACTGCTCAGTCAACATCTAGAGATAATGTGGAATTCTTCTAGAAGAGAAATACAGGGAAGTACTGGGACCAGAGGCAGGGATCAGGAAGTCTCCGGACACCATATAGGTGAAACCACAAGGCTGTCTCAGAGGCAAAAAGGACTTAGAAAGTAGACATGTGACACTGCCCTCAAACATTCAGAGGATATATGGGAATTTGTAGGAGTTTGAGTTACACTGTCAAGGACAAAGACAATGAGAGGCAGTTACAGGAAGCCAAACTCTGTTTAAAGTATGAAAAAACTTCCTAGAACGACAATTTTCTACCTTTTTCATCTCACAGCACACATAAACTAATTACCAAAATTCTGAAGCACACCAAAAATATGTCAATCCAACAAAAAACATATAATTTTAGTTCATTGACACTGGACAGCTATTCTTGTGTTGGCTATTGTCATGTTTTTATCTGACGATCTCAGGGAAAAGAGGTCAGTGCCCCAAGCTAAATAGTCAGGTATTGCATGTTTTAAAACTTCGTATGGCACACCAGTGTACCTGCCACAGCACAGCAGTTGAAAATCACTGTTCTAAAGGGATCCAAAAGTAGGATAAGCTGCCCTAGACTCTGCTTTAGTTTACTGTATTTTTCACATACATTATCCATGTGAGTGGGCCTAACATCTCTAATGATGTGAGGGATTGGATTGGCAAAAAAGTCTGTATGGTTTTTTTTCTGTAAAATGAAAGACACATTTTTCATTCCACCAATAATTCTATTAATCTGGATATTCTGAGTATGTCAGTTATCTCCCAGGTGATTAAACATTGATTGTTCTCAATTAATGATTTGATTGCTATCAATTTCAACCGACCTACCCTACCATGGGGCTGTAACACATTCAGTCAGTCACAGCACCTTCTGTATACACTGCACAAATCCTTTTTGTGTGTTTCAGTTGCGTTTTTTACCTTTCTTGAAATAATAAAGCATAATATGTAGAAAATATTGCATATTTTCTTCCATCTTCACTATTAAAATGGCTATACAAAAATTCACCAATTTTGATTGTTTTTTTAAATGCACATTGATAAGACAGCTCGTCACAATACAATCTAACAAAATTATTTCAAATGAACTTAAAGGCAACTAAGCACTCACTACTAGAGCCATCTTACAGAAAAAAAAAATGAGCTTTTCGGCCAACCCAATATTATTTAAAGTTCACATTTAAACAAACTTTTCAGCCAACCCAATATTATTTAAAGTTCACATTTAACTTATAATTACATATTTGCCTTCCTTCCCAACAAATTATTTCTCTGTAGGTCTGCAACTGAGTTAAATATGCAGTGCATATTTAATCAGTTTTTTGAAATGTAACCAGGAGGCCCTGGCTGGCGTAGTTCATGGATTGAGCGCGGGCCTGCGAACCAGAGTATCGCAGTTCGATTCCCAGTCAGGGCACATGCCTGGGTTGCAGGCCAGTCCCCGGCAGGGGGCGCATGAAAGGCAACCACACATTGATGTTTCTCTCCCACTCTTTCTCCTTCCCTTCCCCTCTCTCGAAAAATAAATAAAGAAAATATTTTTTAAAAAAAATGTAACCAGGAGTATAAGCATGTTTAAACAGATGAAGACAATAAAGATTCATCTGAAACACATTTTTCTTGGGAAAAAAATCTCCACTAAAGTAGAGAGTAAGTATCTGTAACAAAAAGGAACTGACTCCCTGTTTTCACAACCTCTCCTTCTCTCCCCAGATGCCTTGTACCCCTAAGAGAACTTCCACTTACTAAAGTTGAAGACAGTCTTCAGTTGTAGAAAGAAACTAGTAACTTTCAGAAAGTCATTTACTAGAGTTCCACTTCCTACCGCTCTTTAGGAAAATAACTGATTAAAGAATACAACATTTTTTAAAATCAGGTATGTACCTTAACACTTAACTTTTACCAAACTAAAAGTTATAAGTCAAGTATACTTTTTGCCCTATTTTAATTATCAATTATCAGTAAAAATACTACTCCCTCTAATTCCTATCACTGACAATGGGAGTGTATGCAACAGGATTAAAAAACTTTTATGACACTTCCGCCAAGATGGAGGCATAGGTGGAAGCACTGCCTTCTCACACGACTAAGTTTAGAAACAACAAAGTTTTAACGACAAAAACGCAGCCAAACCACAGAAAATTGAACTTCACGGACGTCTGACAACAACAAACCCTTCAGCCAAACCAGTAAGAGGGGCAGAGCCAGCAGCAGAGCAGGGTCGGGCAGGAAAGACCCACCGGACACACCCAGGCATGCAACCCAGGTGTGCCAGCAGTTGTGGGCGGACCCACTGAGGGCTGATTGCGGTCACACATTTGTGCCCAAATAAACCAGTGAAGGAGCAAGCAGTGAGATGGACCGCGAAGGCCCAAGCGGCCAGAAGCGGCAGAGGGAACCCGCCACTGTCCCTTTCTGACCCCACCCCCACATACAGCGTCACAAACCAGTGACCTGGGTGGCCCCGCCCCAGTGAACAACTAAGGCTCTGCTCCTCATACATAACAGACAGGAACAGATCAAAACATGGCTCAAGAACAACTCAGAGCCCCAGAGCCGATAAACCTAAGTGAACAAGAAATTGCCAAACTTTCAAATGCACAGTTCAAAACACTGGTGATCAGGATGCTCACAGAACTGGTTGATTTTAGTCACAAATTAGAGGAACATATGAAGGCTAAACTAATTGAAATGAATGGAAATGCACAGGAAACCAATAGTAATGGAAAGGAAACTGGGACTCAAATCAAGGGAATGGACCAGAAGGAGGAAAAAAATGACCAAACAGAAAAGGATGAAGAAATAAGAATTCAAAAAAAGGAGGAGAGGCTTAGGAACCTCCAGGACATCTTTAAATGTTCCAACATCCAAATTATAGGGGTACCAGAAGGGGAAGAGGAACAGCCACAGTGGAAAACTTATTTGAACAAATAATTAAGGAGAATTTCCCCAATCTGGCAAAGGAAATAGACTTCCAGGAAATCCAGGAAGCTCAGAGAGTCCCAAAGAAGTTGGACCCAAGAAGGAACACACCAAGGCACATCATCATTACATTAGCCAAGATTAAAATCAAGGAGAGAATTCTAGAAGCAGCAAGAGATAAGGGGACAGTCACCTACAAAGGAGTTCCCATCAGACTGTCAGCGGATTTCTCAAAAGAGACCTTACAGGCAAGAAGGGGCTGGAAAGAAGTATTCCAAGTCATGAAATCCAAAGACCTACATCCAAGATTGCTCTATCCAGCAAAGCTTTCATTCAGAATGGAAGGACAGATAAAGTGCTTCTCAGATAAGATCAAATTCAAGGAGTTCATCATCACCAAGCCCTTATTATATGAAATGTTAAAGGGACTTACCTGAGAAAAAGAAGATAAAAAAGATGAACAGTGAAAGGACAGCAAACTCACAGTTATTAACAACCACACCTAAAACAAAAGCAAACTAAGAGGACAGCTAGATCAGGAGCAGAACCACAGAAATGAAGATCACATGGAGGGTTAGCAACAGGGGAATGGGAGGAGAAAGGGGGAGAAGGTATAGAAAATAAGTAGCATAGATGGTAGGTAGAAAATGGATAGGGGGGAGGGCAAGAATAGTATGGGGAATATAGAATCTAAAGAACTTGAGACACGTGGTCATAAACTAAAGGGGGGGAATGGTGGGGGAGGGTGTGTGCAGGGTGGAGGGGAATGAAGGGGGGAATAGAACTGTAATGGCATAATAAATATATTTAAAAAAAACTTTTATGAGGTTGGGGGTGAAAATTAGACAGACAAAACCTTGCCCAGTGTTTCTGAGAAAATGTCTAAAAGAGGCCTCAAAGTTCCAAACGTGCACTCATTATATAGAAGTTGTCACAATTTTAGTCACAGGTTAGCTATTAACCATAACTTTGGACAAGTTACTTCACCTCTCTGGACTTCAATTTCATCATCCATAAAATGAAGGAAATGGATAACATTAATATACCTTCCATCTCTAACATATTTTTATGCATATTCCCCTCTAAAAAGAAAGGAAACCAATAGTTACATCATCTTTAATATATATCATAAGGGGATTAAAAAAAACCTATCTATAGGGCAAAGATTATTTTCAATCAAAGAAACATGCTACATTCATCAACGTGACCAAAGTGTAAGACACAGGAAGTTTCCTATTTTAGTTATGGTAACCATTTTGTTTCTTACCATGACTTTTGTAGCTTGGGCCGGTTTCCACTGTACGAGAGTAACTCCACCACACAGCATAAAAACTGAAATCCACTGTACTTTGCTGAGTGTCCGGTTTAACATTAAAACAGTACATAAAGCAGTACAGGGAATCTTCAATTGGTAAGTCACCTAGAAACAAAATAATAAATTAATGAACTTAGTTAACATTAGTCTCTGACACAACTATTTCTGATACAATTAATAGAATTATCGAGAAAAACGTTCGATGTGATAAAGGGTTAATAAAAATAATTTTACCATACAAAAACATTTTAAGACTCTGGTCTTTTCATCATAATTTTATTCCACTTACCTGGTACACTGCTGCATCCAGATTGCTAAGAGCTAGGAAAGCCATGTTGTTCTGAACAGCATATACTAGTGAGGGCACACTTAACTTCATCAGTTCTTTGGGGCTTCCCAAGACATTTTCTCTTAAAGATGTCTTCAACCTACCCAGACTGCCAGTTTCTCTTTGAAAACGAAAGAGGGAAATGAGAAGGAGTTGAATAGAATAAAAGAGCATCCATTTGATAAGAATTCTCCATGCATAGGGTAGCTAGTGTAATTTAGCAAACTTATCTTTTTATAATTTTCAACTAATTTTAGATTTATTAAAAGAAACAGAGCAACAATTACATTAAAAAATAAGTATAAGTTCTCTTTGGGAAAATACGAAAACAATTAGGTTTACCATCATAAACCTCTGATTGGAGTTTCAGAGTTTTTGAGTATATTAAATAATGAGATAAGAAACTGTAAGTGTGGATATTACCTATAAAAATTTAATATAATCCCTGGAGCTTTAACTGCTATTTACATCAAGTTTACCATGATTATTTTTAATTGGGTTGCATATCCATTTTTCTTTTCTTTTTTTTTAAATTACAATAGATTTAAATTGCAAGCAAAAGAAAAAGGCTTTGGTAGCCAATGGAAGGTACTTGGGATAGGAATTGATGGATTCAGGTCAATATAATTTACAAATTAGCTCAGTACTTACGAAGTACAGTAGACAATAAATCTTTAAGCAAATTCTCATAAAACTTAAGTACATATCTGTAATTTTGCAGGAAATCAATTATTTACTAATACCAACAAAAATAAATTATATAATGATTATAAAGTTCACTATTTGACTGCATATTGATTATGCATGCTCTTAACTATTCTTATTTTTCCTCAGGAGTAACTACATAACATCACTATTTCTCCCATTGTAAAATCAGTTTACTTATTTCATGAAAATAAAAGTAAAACAACATTTTATAATAAGCATCAACACCAAAAAAAGTACTTGATTAAAAGGGTCCTAACTACAATTCACAATACCCTTAAGAGGACCATAATAACTTGTTGACCTGTTTCAACTCAAAGTTTATATAGTCACAATAAGCCTCTAATTTTGATTAACATACTTTAACTACAAAAATAATCACTAATGTTCTAAGGGGGGGCATAAAGCCCATAATGTTAAACTGACTAGCTGTGCCTATCCCATCTATGTACAACACCCCAGCCCCCAAGAACATGCTTGAGTGAGACAGGAAATTTGGCCTAGGCCACAGGAACGAAAGATACCTTTCTTAGTTACAGATAGACCTTCCTCTGGTGCCAAATTCAACCCACTCCACATGTGGTAAATCACATGTTGAAAATAACACACACAATTCGGTGGAAGACAATGAACTCCATCCAATAAAGGAAAGAATACCAAAAAGATCACTCTGCTGAGAAATTTTACATTGTAGGGATTTCCAGGTATCTGAAGATGAACCCTTTAAACATTTGACATTCTTTTTTTAAATTACTTTTAATTCAAATCTAACATGTCCCATATACTTCCTCAACATCTTAAACAGAGTATAAAGAACTTTTCAAAGAATGTTTTTCCTCAGTTATAAAACTAAAGAAAAATTAAAGAAAAAAGAGATTAAAATAATCAGAAGTGTGACCACATTCATATGGTGACGTGTTAGAAAACATAATTGAACATTTTCCGTAATGTCATAATTCTCACTAGTAACGATCATGATACAGACAATAAATCTTGCAGATTCTGTGAAGTACAGGACACTGCTTTTACTGTACTATACTTTTAATGTTCTAAAATACTGACATACACTGATATATCTTCAGCATGCTTCCCCAAGGAGCTACTGAGAGGGACCCATTTGTACCGGTCTTCCACATTCTACTTTCTTCCATGTCCATTTATCTTCCACATAAGACACCCCAAACTCTACTGTAGTGGCCATCTGTCCTTTTCCTAATCCTCTGCTATGGGCAATGCCATTTTACCTTCATCCATTAGAGATGATACTTTCCATGGTATCAAATTAATTTTTGGCTAATGAGAGAAGTCGGTCTCTTTATCACTGATACTCTTCACCCTGTAAGAATATGGGCTGCTTAAGGATCTAAGTGCTATTTCTAATAATCACACCTGCACATAACCAAGGTTGCTATAGTCCCTTTTCTCCCTGTCACTTTTCTCCTCTTATCTCTTCTCTCACACTTTCTAGCTTTTGCATAAAAAGAAAGATCTGTGAGACATCACCAGCCAATCTGCTCCTTTCCTTCAACATGACAAACCAGTAAAGTAGTATATTGGATTAACCTTTAGGTCTTTGGCTATTCTGACTACATCACTTTTCTGTTCATTGCTTAGGAGTTGCTACTTCACTGCCAGGAAGGCCGTGAATATTTTTCTGGTTCCTTTGCTAATGTGGGTATTAGAGAAACCAAGCTATAACAGAATGCTAACTACCAGAAAGCTCATTTCACTGCAGTACCTTAGAATTACAGTAATATTACATAATTATAAATAAGTAAGGTATTGTAAAATAGGTTACAAAAATAGCAGAGTATACTAACAGAACTTATAAAACAACAGCCCAAGAATAATTGGAAAACCTCAGAAAGTAGAATAAAGAAAATTAGGAGGTATAAAAAAGAAGAATGTGTGGGAATCTTAGTACACACAAAGTTTTAAAGGAGGAGATAAATTATTTCAGTTTTAGTCAGATTAAATCCTGCTTAATTTGACATATGTGTTAATAATACACCTCTGAAAGCTTATATTCAGCTTTACCCACTACAGTTTTAAAGAAAGTAACAGCAGTATCTTCCAGGAAAATCTAGTAATCAATACTTCTCTTTTACCATTAAATAGGCAAAAATAAATGATCAATCCTAAACAAACTACAGCCTTGAATATAAAAATTAACACATAAAAACCAAATGCCAAGTTCTCACTGGGCAGTCCAGTTGGTTAGAGCATCATCCTCATACACCAAGGTTGTGTATCGGTGCCGGTCAGGACACATACAAGAAGTAACCAATGAATGCATAAATAAGTGGAACAACAAATCAATGTTCCTCTCTTCCTCTGAAATAAATACAGTTTTAAAGGCCATTTTTTCCCTTCTACTTTCATGCCCTGATATTTTCTTGGAAATCACAAGTACCTAGTGAAGACCTTTTGTTAAAACAAATTTATTAAATTTAATTCTATAAATGATATTGCTAGATAAGAGGAAGAGCATGTATAGTCAAAAAGCATATACTAATTTTTATGGATGTTGTATTTCCCATTAAATTTCCTATTAAAATGATTTTATTTTTATCACTAAAATAGAATCTACGTGCAGCCTTTTGTTACCTGAAAAAACCTGAAGCTCCATGTTGATTGCAAATATTCCAAGGCTGCCTCCCCACACCCCCAAATTTCCTATCAAATAGCCGAAATGAAACCAGTTATTTCTGACCCATGTTTGGTCAAAAGTAGACATTCTTCCAGCTCCTGCTCTGATGAGAACTAGGAGGAGGCATAAAATCCCTGGCCAGGTTACCAAGGCACTATGCAAAATGGAACACAGCAAAAGGTACTCATGAGCTTAAGAAATTGAAATTTTGTTCACAAATTTTATATCATCAGCAAAGTATAATTAATTCACATAAAAGACTTTAAGGCTAGATATAAAAACCAATAGTAAGGTCATCTGAAGACGAAATACCCATCATATGAGGTACATGACTTTTACTTCCTCCGCATGTCCCTACACCCACTACAGCATGGGTACAAAAGAGGCCATCAACATGCAAACTCAGCGGGGAAACAGAATAGGGCTCAATAATCCACAACCTAGGTGTGTGATAGCTACGTTGATTATTCTAGCTAATACTTGAAATAGTAAAATAATTATCTCGAGCCTTACATGGGTAGTAGCTCAAAGATTTAAGATATACTTGGTTTATTACTAAACACACCCAAAGTATATGTACATTTATACATCCTGCTAGGTTTATTTAGTCTTTATAAACTGTGGTGAATAACAAACAAAAAAAGTTGACTTTGTTCTAAGGTGTGAATGTGTTTTTGTTTCCTTTTCTTCATACCACAAATGACTAAATCAAAACTGTCAGTTGCAACTGGGTTTAAGTAAAGCATACAGGTAACCAGTAATTTTCCTGTGAATTGTAGTAATAATTAGTTTTATGAAAATCTAAAATATTTTAAATGTTGTGCTATTTTATGTTTCAATCAGATTAGAATTTTGAAATTGGTAATTTATAGTTCAAAGGTTTAAAAAATTAGCTGTTCACATAAGAGCTTTTAACCTCAAACTACTGATCTGCTCCCCCTCACCAAAACAGGATTTAGTAGTTCCATTTTCAACTTAAAAGTGATCTTCTCTAATCACATATGTGTACAACAATATATATAAAAAGATAATCACTTAATCTTCATTGTAGCAGAAGACTAAAAACCACCCAAAGCCCATCAATGGAGACTGGTATATATGACCCATTTAGCGGAATGGCAAGCAGCTCTTAAAAACAATGAGAAAGATTTCTAGTACTGACATGGAACAATCTCTAAGATAAAATATATGTGAAAAAATAAAGTGGAGCTAGTGTATATACACACAGTGCACTTAACTAAAACTCACCAGTTAGACCATGAAAACCTTAAACCTTATTTATTGAAATAACTCTCCATTCATTCCTCCCCACACTCCTTATTTTCTTGCAATTCTAATGACTCATTCAAATAAATATACTTTTACATTCCAAAAACTATTGAAAATTGTAAGTAATATCAACATGCATGGGACACCTCAAAAAATAATGACTAGCAGAAACCTCCCCCCCAAAAGTCAGTTTTTTTAATTACAAAATTACACTGAAGCAGGAAAAGAATCCAGGTATTCTAAGAGTCTTTTTATTGTATGCTCTAAATCTAAAGGCAAAAATAACTATATACAATACTGAACTTAGTAGGTTTGTTTTTTCACAGCTGTATGTTACAAATTCTAAATCTACATATGCATTCTAGGATTGAGCAAATAAATATCTTGAGGATAATGGGAGCCAGACACCACCACTGAAGAAAGGAACAAATATGAAAAGTAGGAAGGTTAAAATCAACTGTGGTTTTGGATCAGAATTATAGGTATCGAACAATACG